ATTCAACTTCTGTTACCCCATTTCCACCATTTCTTACTATTTTTTTTCACATCTCACACTATTTCTTACATTGGCCTCTCAACTGCTGCAATAATGCGATGGCCACTGCACCTCTTCAAGCTTTATTCATGTGGTCTCTTACTTCTGGATCCTGTTCCCTTGTGGACACGAACAATATTCCCTCATCTCCTTCTGACTTTATGAAAATCTACTTTTCCATGTAGACATCACTGACCACTCTAGGAAATTTCATTATAAATCCCATTTTCCTGTTTTATTCTTCTAGTAATGATAATATATATTTTACCTATTTGCTTTATCTTGCTCTATCTTCCCCTAACAAAAATGCATGTTCTACAATGTAACTGTATTTATCTATTTTGTTTAGTGCTATACAGCTCCAGCATCTAGAAAAAAACTTAGGTAAATTGTAGGTACTTAATATCTATCTATCTATCTATCTCTATCTATCTATCTATCTATCTATCTATCTATCTATCATCTATCTATCATCTATTTATCTATCTATCATCATCATCTATCATCTATCTATATATCTATACATATCCTGGTAGAGATGTCTTTTCTTGTTTCAATGGTGCATCTTTTGTTCTTGATAGAATTTAGGGACTTCGATGTCAAGTACCAGATCATTTATTTCCCTCAGATTCTACCTTTCCATTGTCCAGTGTTGCAAAGGCTTAATTATAATTTATTGCTGCAAATTGTCTTTGAAAATCAAACTTTTTATCCTTATGTTCTCAGTGACCCTGTCTTTGATAGAAGGTTGTCTTGTCACTTTTGTGCCACATCACTGTTGTAGGAGACAGCAGTGCCTTTATTTAGTAACCATCTGGCCTGAATGCCAGTTCTCTACACGTTTTAAAGGTTGTAACACTGGCAATTACTAAGAAGTTAAAACAGCAGGGCAATCATGAAAGCTGTGGAAACTGCCTTCCTATATAGCTGCCACAGTGATGTGGATAAACACATTTATAGCAGTGAGCACCAGTAAAAGCATTACAGTTAAATATGGCTTTCTCTATTGACATCATCTATAAGACAGGTGTGCTTTACTGAACCACCTACATTAACATCAGGACAAAATCCATGGAAAGGAGCTTTTTCAGTGTCATAGTCTGGCTGTGAGCTTCTTTTATATGTTGAATTTCTTTGTAGCTTTTCTGGGTCTAAATCCGTTGTTTTATACAATGCAATGGTTGCATCCAGAAACTGCTTCAATAACATTTCAGCACTCTAGAGCTGATTTCAACACCCCTTGGGTTCAAATCCCAGCCTTAGAGACTTCTTTTGGTCAGGAGGGGTGGGGAAGGTTAGAGGGAGGTGCCATTTGTAAATCAATGGCTTTCCTTTGGGAATTCTTTGAAAATTTTGATGATGGTTCTCTATTAAGGAAAATTGCATGTAGCAAACACTTGGATAGATAATTATACTCACTTCCTAAACTCTGGTTTTCAAATGAGAACTGTATTAGACTTTCTCAAAATTTTCATATCTGGGGCCATAGAGAGGAATCTCTTACCTAATGTTAGGTGTAGCACTTCTTGTTTTTATTTGGTCCTTAAAATTCCATTCTTATGTTTTAGCAGCTCTCTCTCCCCCCTCCCTTTCTCATAATTACTACTTCTCAAAAGTCTATTTTTATCCTCATGTTTTCCGTTTGAGAAGTGTCTGAACAATGGCTACAATGCTAATGGAAAATTGAAAGGTAAAATAGATGGAATGTACTAAATTTTGGATAAATGAAAAATAATGAATATCCTCTATATAATCCACCTAAAATCCTAGTGAGTGATGTTTTAAGAAAGAATGTGAATGCTAGCTGGAAATTCACAGTAAAAATGTAAATATTTCCAGATACTAGACACTTTCTTTTTATACAGAAAATTCTTTAAATGTAAAAATATATATAATCAATTACTCTTCATGCTTTTGTTATCTTTGACTCATATAACAGCACTAAACCACTACTATTTCAGTAATTCTTAAAGTGAACTTAAAATTTTAATTTTATGAGTAAGGGTATTTTGCCTACATATATTTAAGTCTACCCCTGATGTGTAATGCCCACAGATGCCAGAAAGGGCCCTGGAACTGGAGTTATCAGCAATTATTAACTGTCATTGTGTTCTGGGATCCGAACCAGGGTCCTCTGGAAGAGCAACCTGTGCTGTTAACCACTGAGCAATCTCTCCAGTTCCAAAATAAACTTTTAGTTTACTAACTACACAGCTTGTGTATACTCACCAGAATAATCAAGTTCTTGGATGATGCTAGATCACGTAGATGTTTAAAATAAACCAGAGACCTGAAAATTTATTAAATCAGTTGCCTGGATGCAGCAATGTATTGCATAATATATTGATTTAGACCTAGAAAACCTATAAAGGAACTCAACCTGCAACTATACAGTGACTAATAGATCTTAGTCTTCACACTGGGAATACTTGCCTAGGTTCTGTTATTGTTGTAACACTATCAGTTCCGAACAGAAATAAAGTAATGATTACTTAATATTTATCAAATATTTGTCGTAGATACACAGCATCATCCTAGATATTTGGAAAACAGAGGTGTGACTTCCCTTTGAAAAATTTGTGATTCAATATAGAAAGATGACTATAAAATGTTTACACGGTGATAAAAGCATAAAGATTCTTTGTATATGTTGATGTAATATAATAGGAAGATATTCTGATGACTGAAGCTGCTTTTCTATGGATGCTGCTGCTGCTATTGTTTTCTCTGTAGTAAATGGCTTTCTTTTTGGTAAAGTAACTGTATCAGTAGTTTTGGGTTCAAAAAGTGAGCCTTCCCTTCCCAAGCATACCACAAACACAAATCACTTAGCAGCTTATATACAAAATTGGTGGATGTTTAGTTTGGTGTGAGAAATGTTCAGAAAGGAAATAAAATTAATAAAGAGAAGACATCAAGCCACACAGTGGCAAAAAGCTGGTGGGGAAGCTTGGATGTATGTGAAGCATTGTAGGGATGCAAGACTAGAAGAAATCACATTTGGCTACAACAGGGCTAGAGGTGAGCACGCCGGTATTCAACTATGGAAAGAAACAAATGACAAAGGGAGTGAAATAGGAAGGAAACAGTTTCAATGAGAAGAGGCTGAATGAAGAGTGGAGGCGTGCTCACTGGAACCCTCACCCAGTGTAGCCGCCAGTGAACATGCATGCAGTCATCTCTGTCCACAGGCTTAGAACAGGAACACAATCGAGGTCTATGCTTCTCAAATCTCCAGAGAGCAAGAGTGTGCACCTGTCTAAAACTGGGCAGAAATGTGAAGAATATAAAATTAGTGACAAAAATGAAAATCATGGCCCATAGGTGGAAATACTACCTATTTTCACGTTTTTCATGAAAATAAAACCTAACTACAGAGGAAATAAATAGGCATTTGCCAATTTAGATGAGGGTTAGAAAGAAATTGAATAGCAGGGAGGCAAACATGCGGGTAGCTTATGCTACAGTGGTGTATGGATTTCACTGAGCAGTGTAATGCTCTATGCTTAAGCTTCCCTTTTCTCCCTCACTACATAAGTAGAAACTGACATAAGGTTGCCAAGTGCTTGTTTTATCAAATAATGCTAAAGAAATCATGAATAATAATAATTATTATTACTATCTTCATCATTGCTAGAAAAGAATGAATTGAAAACAAAACATTGGGCAAGCATCATCTTGGGGAGTGAATACTTGATGAGCTCACTGTTTTTCTCATTTTGATGCAGCAATGTAGTAACCTATCTGTGGACTGGAATTGATTCTTGGGGTGGGATTTTGAACTCTCCCATACCATGGATGAAGGCAGTTATACCAGAAACTGAGACATTTAAATCCTTTACAAATGCATATCCTGTTTCTTATTACACAACGGGTTTGAACCTCTTATGAATTCTCGAACCTCATGAACTTTAACAAACCTTTGAAGAAAATGACATCTGTTATCAATGCTCTACTTGGTTATTAAAATCAAGACTCTCTCTGGATGTGCGATAAGTAACACTAACCAAATCTTTTCTTTAAACCTTACTACAGGCACTAAAGAAATGGCTCAGCGATTAAGAGCACTGGCTGCTCTTGCAGAGGACCCGGGTTTGGTTCCCAGCATCCACATGGTGGCTAACAGTCATCCATAACTTCAGTTCCAGGGGATCCAACACCCTCTTCTGACTTCCGTGGCTCTGCATAAGATGGGAACACTTAAATACATGCATACAATGCACTCCTACACATAAAATAAAATAAAAATAACATGTAAAATGAATAAAATATTAAACTTTATTACAAATACATTTACAACAGGGAATTGCAATTTTTCTCAACATGTGTATTTCTTTTCTAACATACTAAACTTCTGATAACAAGAATTTAGTATTCTATATATCAACACCCTTATAGTTAATACAATAATTTGATACATTCTTGAGCACTAGTATGTGTTTAATGACTGAATGAATAGCTCTGGTTGGGTTATGTTGACTAAAACATCATAACTAGACATAGAAAACTCCTGCTGTAATCTCTAGTTTAGTTATGGAAGCAGGAAGTAGATCTGCCCTTAGACACTCACTCCTTCCTTCTTCAGACATAGGTGTTGCTATAGTATTAACTGCTCAAGATGACAGAAATTTGCTGAACTGTGTCCTTGTCTTTAGAGATGTCAATATTAGTTCCATTCCATGTGATCCTTTTAGCACAGTGCCTTACAGAAATGTGTTCAATTTCTTGAATGATATAAATAGCAGTAATTTAATATTTTAATTCTCAAAAGAGTAAACACTTGTTAGATATGTTTTTCTTAGTGAGAATAAAACCTATTTGTCACCCTTAAGTGGCAATATTCACTCTATTTATATGAGTCCTTCTTGTTAACAAATGACAGCCACTATTCCCATGACACTTTTCATACAAATTGGAGCCTTAGCCTTATACACTTTAAATGAAAGAATAAATTGCCTTACTATTGCAAGTCTTGTTGTACTTGCTGTTCTCCTGAGCAAACCCTTCTAGCCGGCACTGAAAACGATGCTGCCAAAATTCTTGAAACCAAGGATTTCGGAGGTTTGTTTCTGGCCGGAGTTTCAGATAATAATCATCAAACCACTTGACATCAGGAGATTGGAGCTTGATTGTGATTCCACCAACAGCTTCTCTCTGATACCCATCTGTCACATCGTACCTGTCAGCCCAGCCATCACTAAGGAAAGAAACGAACAGAAAAATTCATTTTAGAGCAGAGATATTCTGGGTCAATGAATCCTTTTGGTCTTAGACAATAGTCACAAAATAGCTACTTCAGAACTGAAGACTGTGCTACACCAGAGGTCATTGCTATACATCAGCTTCTTCAAATTAAAATGAAATAAAATGATAGGAAATATGAGTTTTAGTACCAAAAGGCACTTGAACTGTGGAAAACAATCTTGCATTTTAGCTGGTTTGCTGGTTATAAAATATATATGTATGCAAATTTCATAATTTTACAAGTCATATCTTTTACTGGATATTTAATAGCTAGATAAAATTTACTTTCAATATATTCTTTCCATTTACTTTATATTTATCCTTGAAAGAATCATCAGATAACAATGTAAAATATTTTCAAAATATGCATAGCATTAAATACATTGTTATTGATGTTTACATTACAGAAGAAATTATAGATGTTAAAAATCTTTCTGATTATAATTATTCTATTAAATATAGATTTTTCAGAGCCTCAAACTGAAATATTTATAGCCCACAATCCATATACTTGTCCTATTCCATGACATTTCTTAAATGTGTTAAAAATGTAAAATCATATATTAGCATGCTCCAAGAAATTCTTAAAGATAATGTATCAATGTCTTAGAGGGAGCACATACCTCAAACCTACTATCATTTCGTGCTCTGATCACTCAAAGTAGTAATTTAGGCATTTTAATATAAAAGAAGCTGAAATCAAGAAGTTCATATTCTAATAGCATAAGAAAACATAACTGAATTAGGAAAAATATTCTGCTTATTTAAAAAATATTGGAAACACAGCATTGGAAATAAAGCACAAGAAAAAGTGTTTAAGTTAAACTTGGATACATCCAATGATTTGTCTATTCTCTCTTTTATAGGAGCATGCGGCTTGTGCGGGGTGTTTATTGGAGCCAGTGATGTTGTCCATCTCTTGAAGTTATGTGATTTCTCTTTAATGGAATACATCAAGAGAAACTGTCAATTTTAAAAAGCATCACCAAAGAAGGAATATGGAGGGAGGTGAGAGAAAGAACAAAGTGAAGCTTGCAGAATGCAAAGCAGGAAGATGTTTGAACTATAAACAGAAGTTTGAATTACAGAGGTTGTCCAGGATGACTCCATGACTTGAGATGTTTCCCAAGGCATCAGAGAGAGGGAAAAGAAAAAAATGAGGAAAGTAAGCAGGTTTTTTTTTTTCTTCTAAAGCTCTTTTTTTAAATGATCATTCTTTATTATTTTATTTTTATTTATTTATTTATTTTTTTGTTTTTTTGAGACAGAGTCTGCCATAGCCCCAGCTGTCCTGGAACTCACTATGTAGACCAGCCTAGCCTTGAACTCACAGAGATCCACCTGCCTCTGCCTCCCAAGTGCTGGGACTACAGGCATGTGCCACCATGCCCAGCAATTCTTTATTTTTTAAATTTTTTATTGAAGTTTTGTAATTTCATCCAACAATTCCTCTCTTTTATTTTGTTTTTATTTTTATTTATTTATTTTATCATACATGCATATAAGGTGTTTTGGTCAAATCCATGCCCACTCCCTCCCCTCCAACTCTTTCCATTTCCCCCCATCATTTTTTTCTGATAACTTCATGTACTCTTTCTTCTTCTTTGATTGATTTTCTTTCTTTCTTTCTTTCTTTCTTTCTTTCTTTTTTTTTTTGGTGAGTCTTTTGGCTACTCTAACATTTCCCCTTCTGAAGCGGTAACCCTAGAATCTTTTAAGGATTATATAAAAGCTCCCAAATATTTTTGACATTTTGGTCTTTGGAATGCAGTTGCTAAGAGGCCTAAAGACATTGTGAGTTTTAGCCAAGAAACTGGATACTTTTCTTTGGGGTCTTTTTACCCTAACTGCCTAGCCAATTCTTCCCTCCTATTCTTATCACACCATCCTCTCAAGCGGTTATCCAAATTGTCAATAGGGAATCGGGATGCAGACTGCTCTGGCTTCTTCCATGCTGAACAGGGACATGGGGTGAGGCAATTGGCATACCCCTTCAGCTGGTCGACCTAACGGACTCCCAAATTGCATAACTCTTATCACTAGGGGGAAAAGAAAGTCCTTGAATCGTGATTAGGAGATGTGAAGTAAGAGTAAAGGCAAGAGTTATTAGCATTGCAAGTTCTAGACAGGGAACTAGAAAAAAGTCAGAACATGGCAATTTTCAAATGTTCATATGAAATTGGTCTTTCTTGAGAAGGGCTTCCAAAAGCATCCCTCTATTGGGTTCCTCCTCATTTTTCTTTTGTCTTCCAAGGCTGGACTCTAGAGAGATGGATTCAGGATTTGCTTTCAGGTATTTTGATAGCTGTTGGAGTGGTTAGAATCAGTGTTAGTTCCCTCTCAAAGGCTTCCAGATAGGGAAAGAAAACAAATTTATCCATCATTTTAGAACAATAGTTTGTTGTTTCCCTTAGCTACAGGTAGGCATTACAGTAGTAGAGACCAAGATTTGAAGTCTTACATTTGAGCAGCGCTTTCTGGTTAGGAACAAAATCATCAATGAGAAATAATTGTCTAAATAACTTTTTATATAGACTTCAGCCTAATGTCTGGGGAGTGTAATCCCTTGAATTCTTAAAGAAATATACTAATGACTTTACTCTTTGATTATACTTTCCTTTTGGGTGTTTAAGACCATACAGTTGGCCCAAATAAATCAATTTATTTTTACACTTAAGGTCATTTGAGGATGTTTTCCTCAGGGGTCACATGGGCTTGGGAGGAGCTCCTGGCTCCTTTCTTTTCCCCTTTCCATCTATGTGAAGATAAGTCAAAGGTCCTGCTCAACCACGTCTGGCTTCACTTGGAAGCATGAATGAAATGTTTCCTCTGAGTTAACCCTCCTCTTTGTAGACTGGATGCTGGTTCAAGTCCATCCCGTGGGGTCTAAATATCCTCCCTGAACAAGAGGACAGGTGACTCACCACAGTTACAGGACGTTTTGAGAGATGCTCCATAGTCCCCTGGAACTTAGTTGACCTTGGAGGGCAAGGGGAAAAAATTGTCCTTCAAGTTCTTCTGACCACATTATTATAGGCCTCAAACTATGGCTGTTAAACATCTAATAAGGTTAGTTCCACCAGTCTGGTACTTTTAATTAT